TGCAAGCGGTAACAGAAGAGACACGTAACCGGAACCAGCAACTGCGGCCAATGACTTCAAGATTGATTATAGGGCAGCCGCGAGGGGATGTTCTAAATAGAGTGCAGCAGGAACTGGTGACGAAAGAGATCGAACAAAAAGTGAAACTTGAACTGGAGAATGAGAAACTACAGGAGCAACTGAATACCTTCGAAGCAACAGGTCGAGGAGACTAAGGCACAAAGCAGTTTGAGCATGAAACTTAATGTGATGTCCGGTCAGAGGTTCGGCATGGTGCCACAAGGAAGCAAGATATAGTCGATAATCTCAGTGGCTGGACATCAGGTAATCAGAAATCTGAGTGAACCATCCGAGTTCACTTTGATGCATTTGGACACATATGCAGATTATCTGAGGCAGGTGGAGCCACGCACTGAGTCGAGAGCTGTGCGAGCACTACTAACAACGGGTGGCTCTAGCATGAAGAAACTTCATGGACGCTACCTGGAGGTCTATGGGCCGTATCAAGTGATGCTGAACGTGGATGGAATCAGTATCTACACTAGGACTTATGTAACAACAGATGATGACCAAATGGGGCAGATTTATTTGGGTGAGGAGGAACTCAAGGTCCGCAGGATAGGCCATGACGCCATGATGGAACAAGATGCAGTACACATTGGGTATGAAGCAGATGTACGGAACGAAAATCGGAGTCACAGGGCTTCTGGACACAGGAGCCGTAGTGAGTGTGATGCCGATAAAAACTTGGGAAAGATTGGGCTTCATGAGGGAGGATCTAATTCCAACGAATCTCCGACTGGCCGCCGCCAATCGAGGAGCTATTTACGTAGCCGGAAGAACACCAACAACGGTCCTCCACATGGGAGGACGGGATCTTTGGATGAGCTTCCTGGTGGTAGAGAATTTGGACGACGCCGACCAATTCATCTTGGGCTGAGATTTTGTCAGGAATTTTGACGTGAAGATTGACTTGAACAACAGTCTGATAAGGATTAGAAACCCGGACCGGAAGTATTTTAAGAAACCAATTAATAGGATTATAACAGACGAAAACAAGCTACCAATTTTGATAGATAGATAAGTAAAACTACAGCCAGGACAAGTTGTGGTGGCAATTTTTAGAATGAGAAATTTAAATTCGTTAAGCGATAGTAAACAGGTTTGTTTAGTACCGAATTCAAACAGTCAGAGTTCGGTGATTGAATGCCGGAGCTTCTCGGTAACGCGAAACGGACTGGGTGTCAGTGTGTTTTTGAACACACTGGACACCACGGTTGCAATCCAGCGTGGAAAGAAGCTTGGTTACGCTTTGCTGATGAGGACCGACTATGAGGAGACACAAAACTTGAAGAAACATAGTGTGAAAGACTGTCCTTATCATGCCAATAAAGATAAAAATTTAAAGAAGATTAACGAATTAAAATCTATTCATAAACTGTTTTCAATGAAATCCGAAACGGACGACGGCTTATCAAGCTGCTCGAATTTTCCGGAACGCCCCTCGTCATATGAACTAGAATCTGACAAACCGGTTTTGCCAGAGATAGAACATTTAAAAGGGAAAATAGGTGAGGGAGATTTCGAAAAAATGCGGGACGTTTTAAATCGGAACGCAGATGTATTTTCAAAACATAAAGCGGATATAGGTTGCTGTAATTTCGTCGAACACGAAATCGAACTTGAAGAGGGCGCCGTTCCCCATAGGGAAGGCGCAAGACGAATGACGCCACACAAGTCGGAAGCGTGCCGAGCGGAAATAGAAATGTTACTTGAATACGATATGATAGAACCCTCGAAATCGCCATGGGCTTGCGGGGTAGTAATGGCGAAAAAGAAAGGGGGACAGCTTAGGTTTTGTTGCGACTTTCGTTACTTGAACGCGGTAACGATAAAGGATGCGTACCCGATACCGCGAATAGACGAGAGCCTCTCTAAGCTTGGTGATGCCAAGTTCTTCACCACATTGGACTTGGGTTCTGCCTTCTGGCAGGTCCCTCTGCGGAAGAAGGATAGAGAGAAAACCGGATTTGCGTGCGAATTTGGATTGTACCAGTGGAAGAGGATGCCCTTCGGCTTGTGCAATGCAACGGCCACTTTTCAAAGACTGATGGCTCAGGCGTTGACCAGAGTGACCAAGAAGTACGGGAATCTCGTGTGTTACGTGGATGATGTAGTCATAGCGACACCAACCCTGGAGGACCACATTGATAGGCTCGATGAGGTCTTTGGATGCATGAAAAGAACAGGCTTGAAGTGCAAACCATCGAAATGTGAAATCCTTAGGGATTCAATCAAGTACCTGGGAAGAATGGTGGACAGGCATAGTGTGAGCAGTAGAAGCAGTAGAAGCAGTGTTGACATGGAAGGCTCCCAGAACGGACACACAGCTCCTGAGCTTCCTAGGATTTGCCAATTACTACCGGGAGTTCATAAAAGGATATGCGGACAAGGTGTATCCGATGCAGAAGCTGATGCGCAACAAAGGGAAAAAGTTCGAATGGAACGATGAAGCACAAGTTGACTTCGAGAACATAAAGCGGGAACTGTGCGAAGCGCCAGTGCTAAGCATGCCTACAGAAAAGGGCATGTATGTTCTTGATACAGACGCATCGGTAGTAGCCATCTCAGGAATATTGCATGAAGAGCAAGAATGGAATGGAAGAACGGTTCTCCGTCCCATTGCATACGGCAGCAAGGTCTTGAGTGACACAGAGATGAAATATGGCGCACCAAAAGCAGAAATGTTTGCAGTAATCACTTTCGTGGAAAAGTACCGTGCATACTTGGGGAGCGCTCCCTTCAAGTTACGCGTGGACAACAGAGCGTTATCCTGGTTGAAGACCTACTCGATGGATCAGAGTTATATTGGTAGATAGATAGTAAAATTGGATGGCTACCATATGATAATCGAACACAAGATGCGTGATAAACACCAAAATGCTGATAGCCGCAGCAAGAAAACTGAGTTCTATGAAAGATTGGAGCAGAAGCAAGCCAATCAGGCAGAAATAAAGGAAGGATTTTCGTTTCTGGACAGATAAACTTATGAAGCGCTTCCCTTAACGAGATGGTTGGATAAATCTGGACATCCAATTCCAGGGCATCCTGTGTTACCTGTAGAGAAAGCAGCCGAGATAAAGATCCTATCCAAGGAGGACCCGGTCCCCTTGGATCTGTTGCTGCGCTCGAATCTGGTCCGGCAAGAACTCTCTCGCATGAACATAAACAGCCTCTCATTGTTGGATAAAACGGTGCAGGTAACACCGCAAGTGATGCGGATGCTGGGTGGATTGTTAGAAAGAGAAGTGACCAGAGATGACCCCGAATGGACAGCAGCAGTCGCATCGATTACAGTCAGTGAGAAAGTGAAGGTCATGCCGTCCAGACGACAACACGAAAAGAACGAGAGGGATTGTAGGACAATAGTTCAGCAACTAGTATCCTCAATACCTCACGAGATTTTAACCAGTACTTCTTATGGACGGAAAGAAAAGGGAAGCAGTACGCGAAGGAAAACCGTTACCTTCGTGGACCAGGATGAAGGTGAGAAGATAGAACAAAACCTGCTGCAAGACTGTTTGTCCGGGGAGATGAACGATGGGAAGAGTCAGCGAGCACAAGATCAACACCCGGGACAAGAAAATTTGTCCGGGGAGTCTGAGATAGATGAAAAAATTCCTGATAAGAAACAGGATCTAGAGATCAAGGTGTTGTCCGGGGAGTTCAGATGGATGCGAAGATGGCACAGACATGATCTGGAGGAGCGTGCAGACTCCATCACAACCTCTTCAACAGATGACAATTCCCGAAACTCAGGAATGGACACCTATTCAGACAGGAACTCGAGCTCGGGATCAGAACTGTCCGAACTAGCGATCCACACACTACTAGTGGAAACTCGGGCAAAGGATCTGGACAGAGAGGTGTACCAGGATCCTGACAGCGATCGCTACCTTATACCAAGCGAAAGAGTCTTTGACAACGCAGCGGATGATTTGGAGACAATAGCGGTATCGAAACATTCGATAAGTCTGTTGCCGCAGAAAGAGGTAGTCAGTACTGATCTTCAGCCGTTTAAACAAGAAACACAGCCGTTCGCGAAGTTTGGGTGCGTTAAGATGGGAGAAGACACACACCAGCACAACGAGCTGAATAGTCAGATGAGGGTCATGAAGACGAACTTAAAGGCGAGATACAGACTCTCGGATCTTCTAAGGGCGCAGAGAAATGATCGCATGACAAGCAACCTGAAAAGGTGGATCGAGAATGGTTCTCCGGATAAAGGGGACCTCGAGGAAGAT